TGGAATTAGAGACAATACAGTGTGGAGTTGGAGGAACACAGCAGGCTAGGCAGCATCGGAGGAGCAGGAAAGTTGACGTTTCGGGTCGGGTCCCTTCATCAGAAATGGGGAGGTGGAAAGGAGTTCCCAGCTCCACACTGTATGACATCTAGTTCTAGATTCTCCACAAGAAGAAACACCCTCACTACATACAACCTGTCAAGAATCCTCAGGATCTTATATGAATAACCTCTGGTTCTGGTCTTCCCCTCAAGTGTAAATACCTTGTTTATGTCTACTGTATCAAACCCTTTCATAATCATAAAGATGTATATTTGGTCACTCTTCAATCTTCTCTCATCCACAGAAGGAGCCTCTTTTATTCAACCTTTCAAAAACAGAAATGATAGGCAAGGGTATCGAGGGATATGGAGCAAAGTCAAACAAACAGGATTAAGGCATGGAGGTTCAAATTCTAACGATCTAAAAGAAGTTCAAGCAGGCTTGAATGGTTTTCAATCACCTCCTCCTCTTCTGATGTTTTTATGGAAGGAAAGCCTAGCTGGGAAATATTAGGAGAATTAAGGCATCAGTGAAAAATTAAAACCAACGAAAATTGTGAACTCTAAGTCTTGAATTGAAAAGCAGGAGTTTACTACATTTTCACATACTTCACAAAAGCACATTGAGGCTATCTAAGTTCTTCTATATGTGTAAACTGGAGAAGTGAGCATAGTGTTATGTTTTCATCGTTTCTATCTCTATGATGTTAATTCCACTGAAAAAAATAAATACTCTGACAGAAAAGCAATGCATCAGCATTTCAGTGGTAGAAATCAATCACATTAATATGAAATGACTGAGTGACGGTCTAGACATGTCTCAGTCCAGACATGAAAAAGGTGTGTGGCTGCCACACCTTCCAACTAGTACCAACTAGATCTGCAAATGCGTTGTCTGATTTGTCAGTGTTGTATTAGTGATTGTAGCTGTTCTAAATCCTGAGTCAGAGAGAGGCAGGGTTTAAAGGTGGAGTATCAGACAACTTTGTAAGTCTGATTCAACCTGAGTACTGGCAGCGTCTATAAAAGAGGCATTCAGTGGTGAAATCCACACCTACAGCTACTGACCCGTGTGACTTGGAGACTAATGATGCCCACCTTTAAGGTTCAAATGAAGAGACTCCATGTCCTGGCTGTCTTGTTATCGATTATTGGATTATGTTCAGCGGGGATGAGACCAATGGAAAAACTAAAGAATATACCATCAACTTCACAAAAAGTTTCCTTGAATAGCAACAGTAAGAGAATCAACTGCAGGCAGGTAATATTCTGTAGTAAGATACCATGAAACAACTCAATTAAACTCACAACTTGTTACCTTCTTGTTTACAATTGTAATAAACCTTCAGTTTCACTTACAGAACATGAAAATTTGCTGTTGAATGTTTTGATATAATGGGATTTTTTTTAGATGCTTGTTGAGATATGGGCAAATATTGATTTTAGTTGCTGTGTACTGCATTTTTTCTATAAAGCTGTGAATGTGAAGTTTGCTGGTACTTTTCTACGTATGATTGTGGCTCTCTTGATGGCTGGAATGAACAAGATCACACAAAATTTAATAGGTGTGAGATATTAAAAGAGGTATTTTTAATTCTGAACTGAGGAAAATTGTGTTTACATAGCAACTTGTTGGGGTCAGGCAGGTACTGCCTGAAAGGGAGCTGGAAGCAAATTCAATATGAATTTTCAAAAGGGATTTGAATAAAAAGCTGAAAGGGAAATAATTTGCAGCACTGTGGAGAAAAGAAAGGGGGCAGAGGGATTAATTGGATAGCTGTTTCACAGGCACAATGGACCGACTGGCTGTCTAATGTGTTATCTGATTCTCTGATTTAGAAATACAACACAGAAAAGCAAACGTCAGTGTTTATTCTGCATACGAGTGCGTAGTTTTAATCATATTTACTCATATTGTTCCATATCCATTAAACCCCTTTCCTTTATCCTCTTCTGAAATCTAACCTTGAATATTGGTTTAGTTTCTGCCTCAACCATTAACCTTGGAAGTGAATTCCACTACCTCATGATTCTCTGTCAAGAAAGTCTTCCTGTTCTCTGTTCTAAATCCCACATTTTAAAACAGTGAAAAGAAAGAACACTTACTTACATGGAATCTCTCAGAATCCAGGATCTCCCAAAACTCTTCACTATCAAATAAATGTTTTCTGAGTTTCTCCAGCAATATCTGTTTTTGTTTATTTCAGATCTCCAGCATCCACAGTTGTTTGTTTTACTTTCTATAGAGAAGTCACTGCTGTAATATAAGGAAAATGGGCTGCCATCTTGCACACAGCAAGATCCCAGAAACCATCATGGAGTTAAATGACCAGATAATCTTGTTTTGGTGATGATTATGGGATAAATATTGACCAGGACACTGAAGAGAATACCCCTGTTCTTCATCAGAATTGTAGCAATGGGATATTTACATCTACCTGACAGGATAGACCTCCATTTCATATCTGAAAAATAGCACCTCTAGTAGAGAAGCATTAAGACCATAAGGTAGAGGAGCAGAATTAGGCCTTTCATCCTATCAAGTCTGTACCACCATTTGATCATGGCTGATATGTTTCTCAATCCCATTCTCCCACCTTCTCCCCATAACCCTTGATCCATTTACTAATCAAGAATCTACTTTAAATACACTCAATGACTTGAACTCCACAACCTTCTGCGGCAATGAGTTCCACAGATTCATCACCCTCTGGCTGAAGAAATTCCTCCTCATCTCAGTTTTAAAAGGTCTTCCTTTCACTATGAGACTATGCCGCAAGGTCCTAGTCTCTCCTACCAGTTGAAAAATCTCCTCCATGTCCACTCTGTCCAGCATGCTGTCAGTATCTACTGGAGTATTTATCTAAATAATATGGTCTAGACTCTGGAGTGGGCTTAAACCTATGACTTTCTGACTCAAAGATGAGAATGCTACTCACTGAGCCAGAGCTAACCTATGGCCTTGCATTCCAGACCCCTCAATTACATGAAATGTGTTGTTTCTACCTAGCCTGTCCCATCCTTCCATAATTTTAAATATATCTGTCATATCAGCTAGTAAGGTACCAATTTTTCATATTTTTCTTTAGATTTATATTTCCTTACAACAGGCAATAACCCAATGACTCAACATTATATTCCCTTGAGTCTCAATGTTCTTCCTGAATGTGGAGCCCAATATTACTTCAATTGACCTCTTTTGATTGTCTTGTATCTAGTTGATCTTACTTTCACTTCTCTCCCTTGAGTTTTTGGAATATACATTTATTTCTAATATAGTAATCAGAGAATAGAAACAGGCCAAAAACAAAGTTGCTGGAAAAGCTCAGCATGTCTGGCAGCATCTGTGAAGGAAAAAACAGAGTTAACGTTTCGGTTCCGGTGACCCTTCCTCATCGGACCTGAAACGTTAACTCTGTTTTTTCCTTCACAGATGCT